ATTATTATTATTATTATTATTATTATTATTATTATTATTATTATTATTTTTGTTGTTATTTTTGTAAGGAAGGGAATGGTGGTGACAGAGGACGTTCGGTATCATCTGCAGTTGTGGCTCCTGTTGAGCAATTTCAGAGAGAACGAGTTTTTCATACGCAATGTACTCATTCACAGGAACACGCACATCATATCCTAACACCTTCAACACAAACCGTTCCAACGCATTCCACTCACTTAGAGAAAGTTCTGCCATTTGACTAAAATAGCGATTACTTCTAAAGTTATCATCACGGAACTTTACAGCGAGCATTAGTAATACGGCAAACAGATAAGGCATCTGACCCATAGTTCTCATGAATTCACTTGTTTGTAATTCCTGTTTTCTCAAGGCAATGAAAAATTTGTCAATAAGAGCGAGTGTGAGTGGATAGCATTCCACACTGCAGCGAGTATGGCATATAAGGCGGTAGATGAAATCCCGCACTGGACCTGAGGCTCCACCACCAACAAACACACGACGACGTCCATCTTCATTGTATTCATATTTATCTAACATACAATGGCAAGGAAAGTACAATTGCGTTACATCTGAATTTATCGGTTTCCGCTTCTGTTGTCGTTGTTCTGTTTGAAGAGTAGAAACCATCAGGTTGGAGTTGTGTGTCCATTGCTCCTGCAGAAGAAATTCCATCGCCAAGAGAAATGCCCGGCAGTGTTGGGCGTTAAGTGCAATTTCTTCCTCGTCTGATTGGTCCTCAGCAGAACTGTACGGGTCAGGAATTACAAGTGAAAGTGAAAGGGCGGTCATCTTTACTAATTTCCCTTACACTCTCTCTTTCTCTCTCCGTACCACTGTGTTTTATTATTATTATTATTTTTTTGTGTGTTTGAACGTTGTGGGTAATGCGATGATGAGGCAGAGAAACACAGCGGTGAGAACCGGTGAGAAATTCCTTTTTTTTTTCTTGTTTTTTTTTTTCCCTCCTTAACGAAAATAAGGTGTATTTGTTAATGTAGATTTGAATTGGAAAAAACAACTATTATTTAAATAAGAGTTTTTCGTCACTTGAACACTGTCTTTTTTTGATCGAACTTACTCCTATACTTATCTACTTTCACGTATGAACCCAGTTGATTATATCCAATCTATACCACAATCCCAGACTCCCCAAAAAGGAAAATAAAAACCTTTCCATGGATGCACAAAGAAGAATTAACACAAAAACAGAAAGAAAGAAAGAAAGAAAGAAAGAAAGAAGAAAAGAATACAAAAACAATTAAATACGTCACAATTCCATCACAACAGTGGGAATTATCAATAATAAAGATGATGTAATAAAGCAGCATATCATCTCAGTTCTTCTGTGCTTCTTTCTTCTCCCTTATTCATCCTTAACATCATCATCATCATCATTACACTCCCGCCTACTCCGGGATCCACAACTCCTACCTAAACAGAAAGAAAAAGAAAAAAAAATGGCAAAAAAAAAAAGAAAATCAAAAGCCTACTACTCTCTAACGTTACCTGCAGGAGTACACCTCCTACTACTCCTTTTTTCTTTCTCCCTCTCTCACACACACAGACATATATATATATATATATTAGACTGCGACTACCCTACAGATCACAAGAGACACTTCTCTCACCCGCCTACTTCTCTACTTCTGAAACGACTGCACGAGTTCCTGCAGCTCCGCCGGCACCGCGAGGCCCGACGGGGCGCCGTGTCCCGCTTCACTCGCCGCCTGCAGCCGCTCCGCGTTGAGCCGCCGCACGTTGCGTTGATGCTCCACCCACAACTTGTCGTTGGCGGACTTCTCGGCGAATCCCTTCTGGAGACCGGCCCAGGCGGCGAAGATGTACGCCACATTGCGGACCTGGTGGAGTGTCTTGGGAGCAGCCTTTGCAGACATGAGTCGCTCGTTGAGTAGAATGCTAGAACTTGGAAATGAAAAATGAAGAACAGAAAAAGAAAGGAAGCACACAAAAAAGGAAAAATATCAACTACACTGGCAAATTAAGAGAAAGGAAATGGTAAACAAGAAAAATAACAGTAACAAAAAAAAAAAAAAACAGATTTACAATAGCAAACCAAAGCAAAACAAGAGAGTTTTGATACACTTTGCAGTAGGACCACCGGCCACCTTGCATTTTACCTGAATGTAAGGTAAGAGAGGGGGGCACATCAGAAAATATATATATATATATAGAGAGAGAGAGAGGAACGAAAAAAAGAAAATACACGCTACTTCTTTAGGTGTGGCGGCCGCCTATCGTTATCCTGCTCTGAACCATCTACAAAACCATCTGTTGTTGGTTCTGGAACTCGTGATCGAAACGCCGCTATTGGTATGTAAACATCCTTCTCACTCTCCACCTGTCCCCAAATATTCCCGCGGAAGCATAGGTTAATGCATGCAATCCCACAGACACAGGTCGTAAATCCCTTCAATATGCCTGTAAAGGAAGTTGAGGTGTCGCCGCCAGCGAACCAGGCATTAGAAGCCATACTCCGGCAGGACGTACATAGTGCTGGTGAACGGGATCGAGTACATGACGTTAAGAATCGCGACACACTACTCATTGATATATGAATTCTATTATCTAAAGGGAGAGGGGGAAGTCACCTATGGCAAGAGAAGAGAAGAGAAGAGAAAAAGTAAAAGAGTCAAACAGGTTCTTAATTCACATATATTATTACATTTGGCGTTGTTTTTACTCATACAATAACTCATTTCTTCCAACTTCTTCAGTATTTGAAATCCGAAAAACGGAATTTATCAGTTTCCATCTTCTGCTCTTACATGTCAACAAGAAACAAAATTGTACATCTTTTTTATACTTTTCTTTCTTTTCGCAATCATTCTCAACCTTCTTCAGAATACAGTCCCATGTGCCTTTATCACATTAAGAGAACTTGAAGTTGTGTCGATTCATTGGATTACCCTTCAATTCCACACCAGGGCCGTAGTGATCGGCTGGTAGTGGTCCTGGTTGAGTCTTCTTTTCCTGTGTGAGTTGCGGCATGGACTCCTCAATAGGGTGGAAGGAGCGCCCGTACTTACTTTTGAATGTTGGCAAGTGGCCGCTGTAGCCCGGGAGGTGACGCAAATACATCGGGCCCGCCGCCGCCTCTTCACGGCCACGAATCCACTCATCACGATTATCACGTTCCGTGTAGTAATCATAGCCCCGATCTTGACGCTTATTTTGTTGCGATGACTGCAAAGGATCCACATCATATGTATCTGTTGTTTGAGTTCTGTTCGCAGCGTCATTAGAAGTTGACGCCAACTGCAGTCGCACCTTCGCGAGTTGCTGCAGAACTGTCATTCCATTATTACCGCCGTTTAACACAATGGCAGCACAGAAATTCCCCACATCTCGCGCTGGTACAAGACCCTTCGGGTAACGTGAAGATGTAAACACCATTCGCATCTCCAGTAATGCAGACTCAAAGAGTGATGCTGTTGCTATGGCACTTTCAGTCTCTTCTTTTGTTTCAGTCTTTGCCTTCGTGACATCCTCAACAATCAACGCGTCTTCGAATGCATGCAATAACTCATTTAATTCAATCATAGAAGTGTTTCCAATACCAATACCCACAACCGCAGGGCACATACTCCGCAGCAAGTTGATTTGACTCTCATTAAGATTTCTCAGTGGACAGACAAGATCAAGGAACTCGTCAACAAGAAATCCACCTTCATCTGAATACGCAGTACGAAGATTCCTGTGCTCATCCGGTGTAAGCAGTATCCCAGACTGTTGCATAATAGATTTAAACCCTACAGGATTAACACGACGCTTATCTTTGCTAATACTCATATCCTCCTCAGAGCCCTTTTGTAAAAGTTGCTCCATATTCAAATACCCAATTGCACCTCCACGTAGCAACAAATCCGTCACTTTGCGTATAGTAGGCGCAGCCTTTTCCCTCCATAGGATTAGCTCCGCCGGCTTGAGAATGACATAGTCCATTCTCTAAACTAAAACCAGAAAAATAAAGAAGAAAATGGACTCTATAAAGAAAAAAAAAGACCTTTATTAAACAAAAAAGAAGTAAAAAAAAAAAAAGAATAATTATAGAAAAAATACAAATTAATAGGAGGAGGATGGAGAGTGGGGAAGAGGGGGAATGGTTAAGTGAATCGATTTTATTGTTGGCTTTTGTTTTTTTTTTCTTTTTCTTTCTTTTTCGTGTAGATAACTTTTTTTTTGCTCTTCACATGAAAGATAGAAACCCCTTTCTTTTTTATTTTTATTTTCACAAGAAGAGATCATTAAGAGAACAACAACAAAAAAAAAAAAAGAAACGACTAGCCCCCTCCGGGTAGTTCAATAAAAAGTAGCAACAAGAACAACAGTTTCCCCATACTTTTTTTTTTTTATTATTTCTGTATATTGCTAAGAGCAATTCACGTTATTACTGCATAAAGAGAATTTCTCCTCCTACAGACATGAGTGGCCGCAGTGGATGTACTCCAAAGCTTCCTGGCAACAAGGATCCTTGTGTATTGGATACTTTTATTGGTTTTTCAAAAAGTGCACGTCCGCGTATATTTAGACCGAGATAACTCCCATCCGAGAGAAGTACTCCAAGCAATCCAGTGTGAACACCTGCAGCAAATGCAGAAATTAAAAGAGGCTTTGCTACAGGAGACCATACTCCATAATTACTGTAAAGTGTAGTCACATCTATTTCAAGTGTTGGTTCTGATATTTTTCGACTATCATAAATTCGAACAGCGTTTTGACTCGCAGTAGCAATCATTAAAGCAGCTGTTCCAGTAACAACAGGACCAGCTCCAACAATAGCATCTAAACCAACATGATTAGAAGGAAGTGAGGTAGATGTTGATGAAAAAGAAGATGGTAAACCAGTTCTACGATGAAGTAGTCCTACTGCGCCAAGATATCCTTGTTTATGACGATCATCATAATAACGAACTAAACCATCAGAGAATCCGGCAAATACAGCTCGACCTGTTGTATGTGCAGTTAAAGAAGTAAGAATTGGATCACCAGATACCTCTAGTCGTTGAATTACTTGTTCTTCATATAATGATAATACATGAATTTCAGTACCACCATTATTACCTATAGAACCCCCGTAAAATAAATTCGCATTATATGATCGATAGACAGATTTTATATCTATCTTTTTTGGTGGACATGCAGAGAATGTAGCAACTTCTGTTGGTACTCCTTGTATATCCTCCCAACAACCTCTTAAAAGACTAAATCCACCTCGTTTATGTACAAGTAATAATCCTGCTTGTTCTGATAAATCATTAATCACTAAAACATCATGTAAAGGAGCAGCAAGACGAACTGAAAAACTATGAATTTGTGCTTGAGATCTGTAATTTTCATAAGAAACGTGATGTATACGTTGATTTTTTGTAGCTAAAACCATTGCTGGTTCTAATGCCCGAAATGCAGAACAAATAACTTGATCACCAGGAATTAAACTTGGTAATATCTGATGATGAGTGAGAGCAGCACCACTGTATCCCAAATCTTCTGTAATTGTAATACCATTAGAAACTTTTGTCATTTTCGTTTTGCTATTATTCATCATACATGGTGGTGGTTCTAACTTTCGATCTTGCATATCCAATACTAACTGACGCATACTATCATCATTCCTTGTTGATCGTGCACGATCCGCTTCAGATATAAAATATGATGAATCCGTAGATACCACACGGGACATAGTTCGAAGGGCTTCATTTGCAAAACGATGAGACTGCGGTGGAGCGTTATTTATCAAGGAATTTATAGCTGCTGTAACTTTACTTGTATCACATGTTTGCTGAAGTATATACAACATTAATGCGGCATCATGTACCATTCCTTGAAGCACTACTAGTACTTTAGAAGTGATAGTGTTTGTATCCATCCCTGATGTAGATAGTGGAGGGTCATCTCTTTCCAAAAATCCTGTTATAAATACCACAGAATGATCAAATCGACTATTAACAGTCGGACGTGTAGAACTTAATTGAGATTTAATCTGCACATCTGGTTCATCTAATACCCACTCTGAAGAATTTTTGCCAACATCTTGAAGATAATCCATGTAACGATTACCAGAAGTATTTGATTGCAAAAAAGGAACTAAATTTCCATAGTAAAATAATACTTGGCATGCAAAATATATTAATTCCTCTCGAACACTCATACTAGCATCAAAAATAAAACTACGAAGTTTAATAAGAAGTGACTTTTCCATTTGTATACGTTTAACATGATGTTCAGAATTGCATTCATTTACACCTTGACCCACTAATGAAGCCAATAAGGTTACACATGAACTTCGAACAATAGGAGATTTATCTTGTAATAAACGTGTAAAAAGATCCAAACGAGTAGTACACTCCTGTGCAGCAAATTTTTTTGCATATCGTAAAGATAAGAAAAGTTGTGCAAGAACTAAACAAGCCCATGATCGCAATTCTGCATTATTGGACGATAAACAAGAAAAGGCAGCGTTTAATAACTGATTATTCCAGCACATCACAGACTGAGACTCATCACCACGTTTTAAAAGTTGACAAAGTACATAACAAGCCATAGCTTTGCAACGATCGAGATCTACTTCACTCATAAGATAGTAATGTGTTTTTTCAGCTCCTACAATCCCATTACTTCCTTCATTCTCATTAGCATCTACAGGTGTACTCAAACCATTGTTATTGTTATTATTGTTATTATTGTTGTGATTATTATTATTATTATTATTATTATTATTATTATTATTATTATTATTATTATTATTATTATTATTATCAACAACATTTCCACTAATATGAGATGTCACCATTCGACCATCCTCCACTGGTTCGATAACTGTAGTTTTCTCATCTAATTGCAAAAGTCTAATAAAGCACTTGTCTAATCGTGATTTTAGTAACTCAGATGTACCTTGATTCACATCAGCCCGCACCACTTGCATCCAAAGCACACACATTATTAAAAATACTTCAGGTGTTTGAGCCAAAAGTTTGCTGGCATATGGTAAAATACCACAAAGAATAGCACGTTTTCCAGCAATTGCTCCCGAATCCAAATATCTTACCAAAAGAGTTAATGCGGGAACACGATATGAAATTTGTGTAAGAGCCAAAAGGACACTTGGAAGTTCTTCAGGTTGATTTCTTAAATCTCCTGCTCCTACCCAAACTTCAAATGCCATTAATTGATCCATAAAGAATGTAGAAGGTTTATATGTATAATTAGGATTTTCTGTCATATCCACAGTAAGTAAATCTGGTAGTTGACAAATAACATTTTCTAATGTATAGTCCCAGAGATCCCACACATGATGCAAATGAGCTTCTTCTGCAATAGGTGGATGAGTTACAGGCACACATCCTACTTCACGAAGCAAACGATCGGCTAATAAAAAATTTCGAAATAAAATTTTCGTCATAGTATCTTGACGAAATATTTGATAAAATTGAGATGGAGAAGAAGTACACCATGCAATAGTATCTGTAATAGCAACAAGAATCCAACTAAGTTCTCCTAAAGGTGATCTTCGGTCAGATAAATCACCTGGGATATGGCGAATCATTTCATCTGTTACATGTGGTAAAAGATGTTTACGATGAGAATAATTCGCGTACCATTCTAAAGCCATTCGCAATGGTGTAGTAAGACATGATGTTAAAACATCTGCAGGAAGTTTCGGATTTAATGGAAGAAATCCTTCTACACTGGAGGCACATATAAGCATATCATGTGGACGAGTTTCATGAAGACGTTCCTTATACCAATGTTTTAAAATAGAACCTGCAGAATTGCAATCAAATACGTAAAGTGTTGGAGAATCTAAAAGTTGAGCAATTTCACCTATATTGAGTGGTACATAATGAGTTCGATCTTTATCAAAAAGCCATATTTCACCATATAGAGTGGCTCGAGGCATTCCATGTCCATTATAGTGAAACAGCACTCTACCCATATCAGCTTTTCGACGCATTGAAACCAATACCTGTTTCGCATCCTCCAAGTGCACCTCCACCATTTTCCTAAATGACACTTCCCGCAATTGCACTCGATATTGTCGTTCTAACGCATCTGCGATTAACTCAGTCCCGCCTTCAGCGGCGTAGCGGGCCATCTGCGCCACGTGCGGGTCTGTCCAGCACTCCAGTCGTGCGCAGGGCTCAATGCGCGGGTAGTCCGGCGGGTCGCTGCCAATGTTGAGGCACAGCAGCAGCAGACCGTGCGCTGCCTTTGCCTTTGAGCGGGCCGGCCGCTCCTCAAATAAGGCTCTCTCGTTATGATTGATGTTACTACCATTGCTGTTGCTCACATACCCGTCTTCGTCGTCGTCGTTGGGGCCAGCAAGGAGCGCGGGGAGTTGATGTGGTGCGAAGGCGTCGAGGCGCTCAGCTACTGCGGCGGCAACAGATGGTGCGGGAGCCACACGCCGTCGCCCACGCATAACTCTCTCTCTCTCTCTCTCTTCAGACTATCATATATATATAGAGAGAGAGAGAGACACAGGGAGAAAGAATGAAAAAAAGGAAAAGGAAAGAACGAAGAATGATAATGCGAAAGTATAAAAGTCACTCAGTGTATCTGTCCTCCCCTTTTTTTTTCCAATATTCCTTTATGGAAAGGAACACCATAAAACAGAGGACAAGAAAAGTAAGAATAACTTTTACTTCAAAAAAACAGCTATATATAATAGTAATAATAATAATAGTAATATATATATATATATATATATATTCAGAAAAACAGCATTTTTTAGTGTGTACTTTGTAATTAAACGTTACGAATTCATTCATTCTGGCTTTGGTTTCACGGGTCTCTGCTTCCATTTGTTCTTGCTCATTTTCTTTTCCTCCTTTCCGTGTCCATTTTTTTTTTTTTTTTT